GAGAGACCCCACAAAAAAAATATATTCTGAACACAGAGAGAAGAGGCCGAAGAGTCCACGGAGAGGCAAACTTATCAAATGTTATTTTGAAATTTCAAGCAATTTAGTATCTCAGGAAAATGAGTTAAGTGTTTAAGAGGTACCAGCCCAAGGAAGAGCCTGTACAAATGATATGATGGTTTTACCCATTTATGTGGAGGAAAAGGTCCACGTTAAGGAGGGCAAAATAGTCCCTTGTATCTACGTAGGACGAAAGAGCCTAAAACCAGGAAGGGAGCCACCAGGTTTCACATCTGTGAAACAAGAAGACTCCCCAGATCGGAAGAGGAAGAAAATGCCCCAGGCAAGCCCTTTAGCCCTGGTACCAAATGAAGTCAAAGTACCCGTATGCTCAGTGGGGAGACACAGGCTGCTAAGAAGAAAAGGATGCAAAGCGCCTGGTTCTAATTCCCCCTTGAGGGTGGCAGAATTCTCCTGGCAACTCAGGAGGCCACTTGGCCAGCCATTCTGGGGCACCCTAAATCCCTACTAGCTGAGAGAAGACCCCCCCTTGGCCTTCCGTGGACCACTAAAGGGGGCCAAAGAGCGGAAGGCTGCGCTGTGTGGAAGACCACCTCCGTGTAACCTCCGCAATCGCGAGTGGCAGAAAGAAGCGAAAGAATGGTCTTCTGGACAACTTCTCTGCAAGGCGGAGGAGGAGCAGAAGCCCTTCCGCCTCTGAGGCTCACCTGGCTTTACGCAACTAGCAGAAAGCACACCCAAGGACTGAATGAGCCACATCAGAGCCTCAAGACGTAGGCTTTGCCGGCTGCATTCAGGATGAAAAAAAGGATATGTCTGAAGTGCTGAACACCTGGCAGGCAGCTGGAAAAGGTGGCTATGGGCCAGAGGACTACCTTTTCACATTGCCACAGGCTCAACAAAATTAATATACAATAGTTTAACACACACACACAAAATGTATTTCCACTCCACCCACTCCTCCCTTTGCCTGCTGGCCTGTGGAACTATTTGCCACTAAGTGTAGAAACAGCCAACTATGTAACCCTGACGCCTTTAAAACAGATCAGGTAATTTCTCGGAAGTAACAACTACTGGGCCAGATCCTCAGGCTGGCCAACTAGCCAAGGCTTCTAGTGATCCAAGCAGTTGAAGATGGACACAGCTCCTTGTTTATGGACAGTCCCAATAAGTTCTATTCCTACACTGGCATAGGTGGTGATGGGGGGGCAACCTTAGTTCCTATCTGAGCATAGCTCTGCCCCTGATCCCAGGGCTCATAAAAGCGATCCTCCTGAGCCACCCTCCCCTGTCCCCCAACCAGCATGACTGGTTTCCAAGCTCTGATTAGCCCACTTGGCAAAAAAAGAAAAAAGAAGAAGGCTCAGAAACAGTCACTTCCAAATGTTGCTCTGATGAATGTAAAAATTACAACCAATCACAGCAGCTCTACAAACCTTGAGGAAATTCTAAATTAACATTACATCCGAGCACGGAGAGCACATCCTGGCAGCACCCTTCTTCCAGCAGGCCAGGCCCTTAGGAGCAGCGATCTGCCTGTGGCTGCTCCTTCTCCCAAAACATACACACGCTGGCCACAGGATGCCAGAACATTTGAAGACAAATGTTTTTAAAGACAAACATACATTTGTTTTCTTTGGGTAAATGCTAGTCTGTTCGTCAGAGTTCTTACACCACACGGGACTGCTGGAAGTAAAGCTTAAGCCACTGCAAATTCTTCAGCAGCTACAGAGAGGTAGCTTCACGCTTCTGCCTCCTCCCTATCCTTTCTTTAAAGGTTATTTGTATAAAAACTCACCCTTTTAATGTATTACCAAAACCAGAAAACTACGGACATTTTGTCCCTTTAAGTATGATTTAAAGCTATTGGGGGGGGGAGGGAGAGATTATCATTATGGGCAATGACAGATCTCCAGGAATACATCCATCTCAAAAACGGCTGCCTTGAAGAGCCTCAAAATGTCCAAGTCTGAGAAAGGACAGGACAGATCAGCAATTTATTTCCCTCTTTTGCTCCTTCCTTGAATGGTTGGCTCAATGCCTTAATTAGGTATACATTTTAAAAAAAACAGGACAGTAATACACACAAAGCTCTGTGCTGGGGGGGAAGCCTCACAGATTGCTATGGGACTGGGTGGGAATGAGAATGCCAGTGGGATTCTTGGAACAGCAATGGAGTAAGACTGAGAGGTTTTCACAGCGCAACTTCCTTTTCATCTTGGGAAAAGGACAGAAAGCACAAACCACCGCTGTGGGCTAGCTGTTGGATCAGGCATGGCATGCCTCTAACCCCTCCCACTGTTGTTGTTGTTCAGTCGTTAATTCGTGTCCGACTCTTTATGACCCCATGGACCAGAGCACGCCAGGCCTTCCTGTCTTCCACTGCCTCCCAGAATTTGGTCAAAACCCCTCCCACTACTGCCATTTTAACTGCACAATGACACCTTACTGCTATTTGTGTGCAACTGGTCTCAGAAACTAAAGGCTAGGCTGGACCTGCTGTCTGTACTTGGCACAGCATAAATGTCCACCTACTGTCATTCACAGAGCGATCTATCCAGGCAACATCAAACCATGTGCATCGCTGCACAACGGATGGTGCAATCAGCTGTCCAAGTAGCCCTGTGGAATTGCTTACTGGGTATGACTTTCGCCTTGGTGCAAATTTTGCAACTATTTGCATAAGTTTGAATTATTCAGATGTAGCTATGCAACAGGATTCTGGCCACCAAATACTTCACTTAATTACAGCTGTTGCTGTTTTCATTTTGCATCTTAAAGTTTTTTTTAAAGTTGTATTTTTTCCACAGGTTTCTAGCAGAATAATACCATGGGACAAAGACTGTTCTGAGTTATTCTAAAACCCTTACCTATAACCCCCTTCCAGGTAATAAACCAAAGAGAAAGCTAAAGATGACAGAAGCATTCTGATCGCTAGGAGACAAAACCTAAAGCAACCAAAATTCGGCCAAATTATGAATCTACGAACGGTAAACCGGCAACAGAAGGAGGAACTGCGAGAAGCTGCAAAAATGGAGGCAGCCACGGCAGCTCAAGAGAAGTGATCTCTAGAGTCAGCTACGTTCAGAAGTCAAATGCCATTTCTGAAGAAGTGTGGAAACTCAGCATAAGTGTTGAGGTAGGATGTGAAGATTGCATAAGAGGAGACTGCGCAGCAATTTCTGAAAGAGAGTTAACAGAAGATGCAACTGAGGTATTTAAAAGTACTGAAGGATAAGGAGACGCCGAGGTACTCTCCTATTTACCCAGCACAAGGCACACACTGAAATCAGAAAGGCAAAGATTGAACACAGATCAGGAAGCACAGCTTGTGGAACTCAATGCCACATGCAATAGCTGAGGTCAAAATTATACAAAACATATAGAAAAGTTAGCTTAGGGAAGCTTATGAGGGGTGGAGAATCCTGCACCAAAAAAAATTACTAAAATACTGGAAATCAGTGAGGGAGAAGCTAGAACTTAAAGCAAATGGGAATAAACACAAACTAATAGGCATTCTATGTTTTTGCTGAAGAAGCAGATTCATGAGAACCAGTGCAGAGTCGGCTTAAAATACCTGGGTAAGTCAAAAGGGCTGCAGCAAACCCTCTGCTGGCTTTCCTCACCATGCTGCATCTGAGGTATACAGAAGTGTACATCGGGAGCTTGCACAGGTCTTGCAAAAACGCAAGACAAGTCGACAGACCTCCCATGAGGCAACCGAGCGTGAGTGTATACGAACATGAAAGCAGGGAACCGACACCATGAGGTACCAGTGGCTGTCATGGCCAGGTGGAACCGCCCTGTCTGTAATTGAAGCAGAACTGGGAAGGGTCGGGGAAGCAGGAGAGACGCAGCAAACCGACCAGACGTGCAGATACTCAGGAGCAACTGGCCGAGGAGCACCGGGGGGGGGGGGGGGGAGGTTTTCACACAGTGTCAGCTAAAAAACACAGTATCGCCCTGATACCAAGACGAGGAACGCAGGGACAAGCTCCCACTCAGAGGAGCCTGATGGGAAAAGCCAGTGTTTCTCAGCAACTTCCTCAGCACAAGCACAAGAGGTGGCACAAAAACAGAAAAACAGGGCAGAGAACAGTACAGGAGGGAGGTTCATAACCGCCTGGGGGGGGGGAGAAAACGCTGTGAGAGAGCAGACGAGACGAGAGTGAGGAGGAACCGGAAGGCAAACCACAGGAGGGTCAGGGGAAGCGCACTGCAGTCAAGGGACCCGGTGGGTTAAGTTCACCACCACCCCAACGCCATCCAGGTCTCCTCAGGGGCAAAGCGGCTCTAGGTCTCGCAGCGCCAGTGGGAGGGTGCAGCCCCGTTCCCTTTTTGCTCAAGCCCCACCTGCCTGGTCTACGAGATGAGCGTTGCTACGGACATTGCTGTGGACGCTAGCTTGTCAGGAACCAGCGTGGCTCTTTGAAAGCACAGTCCGGTAGCTTTCCTGCAACAAACCCATGGGCGCAGGGAAGGGAGAATGTGCCGACATGGAGCGATGGGGCTGTCACACAGAGATCCTTAGCAAGCTTTTCACAAGGGGTAGGGCTAGGAGTCTCTCACCAGGCAAGGAGGACAAAAAGTCATGGCACCTTAAAGATGAACCAGGCATAAACTGTTGTGGATTCGAGTCTACGCCTTCAGATGTCATCCACAAAAGTTTGTGTCAAATAAAACAGGCCCACCTTTCAGGCGGTACGGAGCTTTATTTACACCTAGCAAGCTCGTTTCTGCTTGAAGGCCACTGCCAAGGCAGGGAGAGTATCAGACCTCACGGCGGAATGGAAAACGGGTTCCCAAGCAAGGAGCTCCTACCACAGAGAGCAAAGGTACCGTGCCCGTGTCTCCGACTTTACATGTACTTGGGGGAAACAATGGTCACAAACGAAAGCTGGACCGGTTGTGTTGCAGGATCTTTCCATTGAGCTGCGATAACACTGGAGGGAAGTGTAGTCCACTGAACTGGCAAAGGCTGAAGCAATTCAAAGTCAGTTTTATTTTCCCCACGGGGGAAAGACATGAGAGAAGTAGTGAAGTGAAATCAGTGTGACCTGATTCTGTTGTGTAAACAGTGTGCTAGCTAGGCCAGAAGCACAGACTGTGTTCCTGGCACTTCCTGATTTGTACTGGTGGGAGAAAGGATCCATAGCTAAGTAAACACAATTCGGTCGGAATGAGTCCTAATGAAGCAGCTCGGAAGAAAGAAGGGCTGCATCTGAACAATACAGACCCAGCACCACAGCAATGGGCAGCGGAAAATGAGGGAGGGAGGAGGCAGGCTCTTTCAATCGGCCCTGAGGAGACACTGAAATGTAGAACCAGCGTTGAACCTTAGCTTGAGACCCAGCTCAACCTCCTCAGAAGGAGGCTGGAAGCCCCAGGAAGGACAGTGCACTCCTGATTTACCAAGAAAAGGTTTTTTTGGGGGGGGGAGAGGAGAAAACCTGAAATTCTATCGGCTGCACCCTACTCACTGTCCAGGACTGGGCATACACCCAAGTGGATGTGGGTCGCTCCTGTCCCCAGGTACCCTCCTCCCTCCAGATTTCCCAGCCCACAGCAGGAAGGACAATAAAATGGGGCGCTTCTGCAGCACCTCTCACCACAGTGCATGGAAGCTTCCGTTTTCTCCAGCTTTCACTGGAATGCCTGGTGGAAACGTGGCAAGGTGGTTGCACCCAAGCCGGAAGAGAAGACTGAGGGCAGCGAATGAAGGGCTCCGAAGCCAAGGGAGGCCGTGGCTCCAGAGGACTCCTGTGGTGGCAACGTGGTGAGGAGTGACTGGGCCTCCCCCTGCGAATAACCCATGACCAGCCCCCCAGATGACACAGGTGGGTTGCAGGAAGGAAGGTTCAAGGGCAGGAAGCTCAGGAGGTGGGAGAAATCCATGTTAGCAGCACAGAGAGCCTCGGAGAGCAGAGCAGGGCTCTTGGAAAGCAGAGTCTCCTCCAGGGTGGCAGGCTGAGGGGAGGAAGAGGATGGCTCCCCGGGCACGAGAGACAGCCCTCCCGGGAGCTCTGCCAAACAGCTGTCCACCTCCGCTTTGGGTAGTTTGTCAGGCAAATATGAGGTAGATCCCAGCTGATACTTTGGGGGAGGCTGGGGCGGGGAGGACGATTCCAAGGGGTAGCTCATTCCCATTGGGAGAGGGTTGGGGACCAAAGAATGGGGCATTCCTGAGCTGGGCATGGCAGGGACGTGTGCCCCATACATGCCCATGGGCAGCATCCCGGGAAAGCTCTTGCTGTTCATCACATCTCGAGAGGCCATGCACAAGACAGGGCTCAGCTCCTCTTTCACTGCTACGGCCGAGTTGCAGCTCAGGAGGCTCAGCATGTCCACAGGTTCCGTCTTGATCTTCAGCAGTTCTTGTGAGTGGCTCTTCTTCATGTGTCGAGTCAGGTGGTCCTTGCGGCCAAATCGCTGGGCACAGTACTGGCACAGGAAGTCCTTCCGGCCTGTGTGCACAACCAGGTGCCTCCGGACATCTTTGCGGGTGTAGAAGCGCCGGTCACAGTGGTCACACGGATGTTTCTTCTCCTTCACGCTGCCCGACGGCCTCCGGGAGTGGGCCTTCAGGTGCTCCAGCAGAACCTGGGTGCTCTCGAACATCTGCAGGCAGACTTTGCAGCTGAGGTCACCGCTAGCTGCGGCATGCATTGCCAGGTGGCGCCGATAGCCGAGCTTGGTGTTGTAGTTCTTCCCGCACTCTGGGCAGTGGAGAGCTTCCTTATTGGGGTCGTGCGTCTGAAGGTGGTTGCGGAGATGGTCCTTACGGTGGAACATTTTCTCACAGTACATGCATCGGTGAGGCTTCTGGGCAGAATGGGTGGCCAGGTGCCTTAAGAGAGGCAAGGCAATGATTAAAAAAATGACCAGCTGCAAAGCCAGGCAGGTTCAGCAACAAGCTGGGAGGTGGGGCCAATGATGGAACAGAGGGAGAACAAAAGGATGCTTAGCTGAACAGTCCCCACCACCCATTCCTCAGGTTATGGGTAGCGACGAATACCATGGCTATTACAAACTCATTTCCGAATGAGTTTGTCACAGCAGAGTCATGTGTTTAAGATAGGGACCTTCTGGAGATCACAGATTCATTGTGACTGCCCTAAACTGGCAGCCAAATCTCACTCTGAATGCCAGCTTCTGGGAAGCACAAGGGGGAGGATGCTGTTATACCCACACCATCCTTGCTGGCTTCCCAGAGGGATAAACAGGGTAAACAGAATGCTGGGATCAGAAAAGACAGTGGTCTAAAAGGCTGTGCCTCTAATTACTAGTTATTACAGATGGGCACAAACGGCTGGTTCAGCATGGTTCGTTTCCTGGCCGATCTGCAGTTTGGCATCCACTTGGAGGAAATGCCTGGAGGGAGCGGGGTCGGGTGCTGCCGCCAACTGGGCATCCACTGGAAATGGGGGCACTAAACCACAGATCAGCTGTTTGGCCAATAAACAAACCACATCAAACCGGTGGTTCGTGCCCATCTCTACTAATGATCTGAGGCAGTAAATATTCTGAACCACAGAACTTTTCCTGTGCTTAATTTTTGTGTGGCAAATGTTCCATTTCTAAATGGAACATTGCCACCCAGAGTAGACCTTTGGTCTCGATGAGCAGGGTATAAACCTAATAAAATAAAATAATAAATAAATAAAAACAGAGTTTCGTGGATTTTTTTAGTAATAACGAATGGACATCAATACAGTATTAGGTGGCATTTTAAAACAAGATTTAAGTCACAAGGCAGGTGGGCTGTCTGTCTTCTATTAAAGGTCTCCAGGTGATTAGCCCTGGAAAATTGTGAGTATGTATTTTACTGATCTGTACACAAAGTGAAGTCCATCCCAATACACATATTAAGAAAAACACAGAATTGTAAATTTACCTTTTGGCAGTACAGATCAAATCAGATCTACACTTCTGATTAACTTTTATTTCACTTTCAGCAGACATACAAAGCAGTATCTTATCTCTTTTCTTAAGCCCAGCATGTCACTTGCAACAACTTTTGAGAGTTTCCAGTTACGAATTTGTGAGGCCTGTCGAGGTGTTTTGAGATTTAGCATGCAAGAATGCAGACGTATATAGGACCCCTGTGAAGGAGAAATGGCTGAGAGAGTGACTGGCCCGAGGTCACACAGTAAGCCTCATGGCCAAACAGGGATTTGAATCCAGGTCATCCCAGCATTATTTCTTGTCTGACATACTACCTACTGTAGTAAGTAGTTTAGCTAAAGTACTTGTGGACTGTTGGGGCATTAACAAATGATTGAGTAAACTGTTAGTAAATCAGATTATGCTCTATTTAGAGCATGGGTGGGAAAGACCTGAGAACACAGGTGGCTTGAATTTGGTTCCTAGGACCAAATTCAAGCCACCAGTCCTCCAAGAGTCCCAGAAATGACTGGAAACTGCCATTTTAAAAGAACAAAAACAAACAGATCAAAGGCTTTTTGGGATGAGGGAATCTTCAGGACCCCCTCCAAGGCCCTAGAATGGAAAACCGCTATTCTGAGACCCTTTTTTGGGAGAGGAAGGTAATTTTTTAAATCTGGGGGTGGGGTTCGGGGGGGTCCACATGCAATCTGAACTTTGCCCACTCCTTATTTAGGGCACCAGAAAATTCTCCTGAACAACCCCCACTGCATCCAAATCATAGGGAAATACTCAGAAAACATACACGTGGAGATATGGGGGTATTTTACCAACTGCTTGAAAATCTGCTGCCAACCTCGGTCCAGGCAAATTTTTAGCCCATGAACTTAAAGAGGAAGTCCTCTTACCTACAGCTCACCACCTGACAGGAGAACTGCTCTCCATCATCTATTCTCATATCCCTGCTCAGATATCTAGCATCCTATGGTTGCTACTGCTGTTGCAGTTGCTTCCTGGGCATAAGACACACCCCATGTTTCACTTAATTCACTCTTGCCCTAAATAAATGATTTAGGGTTAGAGCGCTTTAGCACTATAGGGCGGTATATAAGTTGAAACAACAACAGCATGTTTCCCATGGAATGCTTAAAGCTGCTTCTTGCCCACAGCGAGATGAAATCTATGGTCTACCTTGGCACTTCAGGCTCTCTCCTATCAGTGGACGAGGCCACTTCCCTTATCCCATGTACTGGGAGAACCTACCATCTCCATCTTACCCCTCTGGCTGTCCATCAGATGTTTATTTCCATGTAATGAAAAGTACCCCCAAATGGTAGTCTGCCATGACAAAACTGCAATTTACTCTTTCCGCAGTAACAACAAGGAGGGACTCATATATTACAAGATCTGGGAGAACCGAACTACAATCTTGAAGTGTACAGCAGAGTTGTACAACGAAAAGGAAAAGGCACAATTCAGATGCCATTTTTGCACATTATTTTCTCACTTTCCCATTGGCATAAAGCGGCAGGGAGAATACTGCAAATGAAAATGGGTCTCTGTCCTAGGAACAAATAATACCAGTATTGTCATGCGCTACAACTGCATTCCTCAACAGGCCCACAGAGACTGCAATACTCACTTGCTACTCCCAGTGTCTTCCCAGTCACCGTGCTTCTCACAGGACTGCTCATAAGTAATATTCTTACAAGACTATGACAGCCAGAAGAAAACAATGGGTAGCCCACATGAGCAACTAGTGTCTGGATGAGCTGCCATATTTTCTTAAATAGTGTCATATACCCTAGGATTTATTCTCTTGTTTCTGTCCTGAGAAGCTCAGTGTGGCATATAGGGTCTTTCTCCCATTTTTATCACCACAAAAACAAATGAGACAAATAAAGCTCAGATATAGTGACAGGCCAAGGTCCCCCAAATTAACTACATGTCTGAGCAGAAAACGGAACCAGGGTCTCACCAGATGCAGCCTGATACTCTGACCGCTGCGCCACATACCTGTAGAGCTTGTATTTGGAGGCGAAGGCCTTGCCGCAGTGCAGTTGCGGGCAGCAGTACGGTCTCTGTTCTGGGTTGGTTCTCAGCTTATCCACGCCGGGGAAGGAGGCTGCTGAGAGCTCATACTGGCATTTCCCTTGACTCTCGCTCTCTCTGCCCTTTGCTCTGGCCACTAATTTCCAGCCTGTCTCCTCCTCCTCCTGCTTTGCATCTTGAATCCAGTTAGGGACACTGGTGAAGAACGCTGTCATGGCCAGCCTAGTCGAGGAAGGCCATATGAAGGAGAACTCCTGCCCACGGGCATCTCACTGGCACAGTCACATCTGTCAAACCTTTTCAAAAGTTTCAGCAGGAAGAGGCCTCCACCTGCAAGGATCAATGACAGGCTTATCAGAAGAAAATGAATTTTATGCATAAAGCTGTGGTAGAAGAAAAGGAATTAACAATTTTAAACCGGCAGGGCCACTATTCAGTTTTAGGCATCAATCTTTTAAAAAGTGAAGGAAAATGTTTCAGTTCCTGCATGTCAGAGTCATTCTTCATGATGTGCTGAGAGCTTTGTTCTACTGTAAAAAAGTCTCAAGATAACTTTTAAAAAAATTATTCTTCAGGACAGCAAGTCATGGAGTCACTGTAACAAAGCACCTACATTTCTACAAATGTTGATGGAGAACACAGCATTTAGTTTGCCCAAAATTTCTTCAGGTGCGATGCTTGACACGAGAGCTGAAATGCACCCACTTGGCCACTGGGCTTTAATTCAATTGAGTTTGCCATCTGAAACAATGGCCCTATAAACCATCCAAAGCACAAGCTTTTAAAAAGACAGATGTTGCATCGTATTATGCCTGTTGGGAAAGTATGCTCTGGAACAAAACCAGCAGATCTCCATTTCTATCTCTCAACTGCCCAGTTGAGAGACCATACTGGCATCCGTAGAAGCTATTCTGAGAGTCATGAAGGAAGAGTATATATAATGTAAGAATACAATGGGGCATTTAAAGAACATCAAACCTGTGAACCAATTGCTACAGCTGTACTCTTGCAATGCGATTCCCTGATTGCTTACTTAGAATATAGCCTCCCCAGGACACCACTGGGATTCAATTTCATCACAGCAGCAGTATACAATTTCTATATGCATCTTTAGGGACAACAGCACCTTTAAATCTTTATTTCCAAGATCAAAGAAGAAAAAATTGTTCCCATTTTATGGCTGGATCGAAGCGTCCCCGACTTTGTTTTGCTATTGCTCCGCTATAAGCTCTCTGAGGCTAAGATCTGTGTCCTCTTGTACTCTCTGAAATCCCTTACCAACCGAAGATATATTTTAAGAGAGTGGTGTCAAGAGTGCTATGCTGTGTAAACACTGCAATCCCTCGCCTCCTTTCTCAGACTCAAATAATGCTCTCTGAAGAGCAGAAGGTGAAGTAAGCCCACCAAGTCAGAAACTGCTTCCTTCTGAATAACGGACTATACCACTGTGCTGAATAAATCCCCCCCCCCCGTTTGCCTCTCAATCTGCGCTGCACTGTTTTGTTTTGACAATTCATGCAGCTGGCAATTGTTCCTTGTTCAAATGGAGTCCGCTATTATATCACCTGCCAAAGGGACTTCTAAAAAATAACACTATAACTTGCATGCTTCCACCTCTGGCAAGCAGACAGGGCTGGTTGCCATTCAGCTGGGCCAAGTGTTCCCACATCCAAGTAGGTCAAACAGGACAAGGCCACATGACCTTCTCAGGGAGGTGGCAGATAGCCAGAGCTGTAATGCTTCTCTCTCTCTCTCAGCAGAAGCAGAACTGCCCATCAGCACGGGGGACAGCAGAAGCAAAAGATATAAACTAAAGTTTTGTGGAAGAGCTGGAAGCCTGCTTTTACTACTACTACTACTACTACTACTACTACTACTA